ATCAGTGAGTTTTGCCATTCTCCGCACCAAGCTACGAACTCGTCAAAGAGACAAGTGAAGTCAATCCCTCTATAAACGTTCCGCCAAAAACGGTTACACTATCACTTCTTTCTGTGCTGTCCTATCTATCTACTTTTTACTCTCTTATCTCACTGCTGCCTTATCAAAACTTCTCACTTGTTTACATTCCACTCGTCAAAATGTGTACCCTTTGTGGCAAATCTAATGTAGCCTCATCACACTTGCCATTCACCCGGACCCCTCTTTCGATCGGCTGATACGGATCCCTTTTATAGTCTCGTGGATCCGTTCCTTATCTTTCTGGTTGACCGATTTCACTAAATTCCACTCCCTGTGTGCATTTCACTCCAGGCGCTATTTCTGAAGGCTATAGAAGCACATACACTGCCGCTTTACTGAGCAGAGCGCCTAAGCTCTGATTGCCATGCTTGAAGATTTCAGGCCTTTCCTTCACGGGTCCTCTTCTTGATTAAACTTATGTCTTCTGAGCAAACTGTTGACACTGATCTCTGGCTGCATGCTGTATCTTAAATGGATTTCGAGTACATTTTAGTCATAACACCTAATTTTCGTGACGGTTTGCTTATCCGTCTGCCCAGCTCCCTGACTGCCAGCCCCCCAAAGTTGTACTAATTTATTCGAAATGGACATCACTTACTGACAACATCTTCGCTTTATTGCCGAAAACCCCTTCCCCCCACTTTCTTCATCGCGATCCCTTTTCCTCCGGTTAGCAGTAGATCCTTGATCCAAGCGTCTCCTTTTTGCTGGTCTTGCTCTATTATTGTTTTCCCTCAGTTTGCTTAAGCAGTAAACGAAGTTATCGTTAACTCTACCGTCCTCCGATCTCCTGTTCATTAGATTTTTCTTCCTTAGGATATCAATGGCCTCCCTAAGCTTCCGCTTCCTTGTGTTGCCCCGTATGGAACTCTTCTTTCTGTTGCCGTCCATTTTATCTCGTGTCCAGTCTGTGCGATGTCTTCCGCTTGTTCTGATCTTTCG